GATATTCCAATACGATGTTGAAACTAAGCGGCAATCCATGCACTGGAAAACTCCTGCATCGCCAAGAATGAAAAAAGCAAGGATGTCGAAATCAAAATTTAAAGCCATGCTAATCGTTTTTTTCGACATCAACGGCATCGTGATGACTGAATGGGTTCCAGAGGGTCAAACTGTAAACCAAACTTACTATTTGACAGTTTTGGCAACACTGCGAGAGCGAGTTCGTAAGAAACGGCCGGAGTTGTGGAAAAACAAGTCGTGGATCTTGCACTAGGACAACGCACCTGCCCATAACGCGCTGTCTGTGAAGCGTTATTTAGCCGCTAGAGGCACTCCAGTGCTCGAACACGCGCCGTACTCGCCTGATTTAGCACCCTGTGACTTTTTCCTGTTTCCGAAGATCAAGTCTGCCTTAAAAGGAACCCGGTTCGAGTCGATGGAAAAGGTGAAGCGAAAATCGGCGGAGCTCCTAAATGCTCTTTCAAAAGAAGACTTCCAGCATTGCTTTGACCAATGGAAAAAACAAATGGAACGGTGTGTGGCGAGGGGAGGGGAGTACATTGAAGGGGAGCATTCAATTGTAGAATAATTTTTAAAATAAAACTCTTTTTCATAAACAGTCTCGTTATTTAATAGCCAGACCTCGTATTAGTACATATTTCAAGTATTTTTTAGAATTTTTTAATTGTTATTTTCCAAGAAATAAGCCTTATGAAATAGTTTATGTAAGATTATAAAAAAAATAAGGCGCTACACAGTGACCATGATTGCGGCTGTTCTGCTCGTTCGAAATGAAAAACCAAAGAGATTCTTAAAGCATATGAATTTGGCTATTGTATGATCTATGATAAAAAAAATATTAGAAAAAAAAATGGTGTCATTTTGAAAATTATTTTCCGATTTTTTCGAATTCTTTTATCTTTAAAGTACTGTAAAATAAATAAAAATAAACATTTTGACTTTATTATAATTCAGACGAGAACTATATATGCGCGAAAGATGTGCGCAAAATTTGGGCGCGATTGATCAGATTTTGAGAATGCATCATATAACATGGTTCAAAATGAAAAATAAGTGTTTAGAAAGGCTATGAATCAAAAAACAACAAAGTAAATGTGTAGATATAAGAAACTAGTATAATTATTATGATCTAAATAACAAATAACAAACATTTCGAGTCCGATCGGGTCATCTTCAATGTTAAATATAAACATAATTAAAAAGAACAGATAAACTAAAATAATATACTTAAATTAAACGGGTCAACTAATAAAGTAATACAAAACAAACAGCCATCTGTAAAATCGCATCCTGTCATTATGAATCTTATAATACGTCCACACACTATAGCGTATATGTTAGAAGTCAAAATAAGTCCATATTGATGTCAAAGTGCGCAAAATATTCCTAAGCATCGTAAATTCAAAAATTCTTGTTAAAATTTCTAAAAATAGTGAGAACAATCGTTTCATCGACATAATATCTAAAGCAAAGAAAACCAAAGCATTAAGTACAATAATACCGAATATAAAGCAATAAAAGTCCGTCTGTAGATTAATATATATATACATTAAAACTTATAATTAGAGTTATCTTAAAATTATAAAGTTGCGGTGTCCACTGATAAAAATACCTCCATATGTTTATTAGTACAAAAATTTCTTCTACTAAGAATGATGTTGGCAAAAGAATATAAAATTTGGAAGCAGTATTGCGAAGAAACGTCTTTGTCTTCTGACTACGTTACACAGAGTGAAGAAATCATTGAAAAAATGGGAGGTAGGAAAAAGTTAAGAAAGGGAAACAAGAAGAAAAAGAGGAAGAATGACTTTATAAGATGAATTTATAAAAAATATTGAAAATAATATATCAGCCGCCCAAATAACGTCATAAAGTTCACGAGAAGTAATTCCACTTCGATCCTCAGTAAATTCTCAGCATTCTTATCAGATGGAAGAATAGGGGTTATATAAATAACACTTTATACAGACGGTTGAACACTACTGACAGCAATTTTGACAGAGCGTATGGTTTACCTAAAATACATAAACCAGGGAATCCTTTTTAGACACGACTATAATTGTCGAGGATAATAGAATTGTGTTTAATAGATTTCAGAAACCTATTTGTTCGGGGAGATTTTTCAACTTTTATTCCCACCATCCTTTATGTCACAGAAGGGGCGTTATTATATGTGCAATAGACAGAATCTTATTATTGTTCCATCCAAAATTTCATGCGCGTAATCTTATAGATGCTGTTCACACGTTTTTGGAGAATGGCTATCCTCTTTATTTCATATTCGCCACGATTAATAACAGACTCCTTTTTTACATTTGTAAATACAAAAACTCCCATATTTCTTATTTTCCTAAAAGAGAGATAGCTGCGGACAAATATTTCACCATACCTTATGTTAAATCAGTTTCTGAAAGTTTTAAACTTATCGCCTTAAAAATGAATTGTAAGTTAGCTTATTCAATTTCGAACACGTTAAATAAGTATATAAAAAGAGGTAGAAATCAATTAGATTATCGTTTTATCACATTAAGGGGTACACAAAAAGGAGTTTACAATTTTTTTTATGAGGATTGCGAGGTTAATTATGTGTTACACGAAAAGAAAATTAAAGACTAGATTGCAAGAACATAATAAGCTAGACATAAAAATACGGGCTCTCTATCTGTCATCACGAACCATCGCATTGAATGCAACCACAATTTTGATTGGAGCAATGTAAAAATCCTTGATAAAGAACTTTTGTATAAAAAAAGGTTGGTATCTGAAATGGATCATATTAAAAAGCAAAGCCAAGGTCTAAATAAGCAAAGTGAATCAGAATCGTTACATGAATCTTATCTTTCTATCATACAACCTTTTTTCCTTTCTTAATCGTTCTTCCCCTTTTTCTTCCTATTTCCCTTTTCTAACTTTCCTACCCCTCCACTTTTTCAATGATTTCTTCCCTCTGTGTATCGCAGTTAGAAGACAAAGACGTTTTTTCGCAATACTGCTCCTAAATTTTATATTCTTTTGTCAATGTCATTCTTGAAAGAAGAAATTTTCGTACTAATAAACATATGGAGGTATTTTTATCAGTGAACACCGCAACTTTGTAATTTTAAGATAACTCTAATTATAAGTTTTAATGTATATATATATTAATCTACAGACGGACTTTTACTGCTTTATATTCGGTATTATTGTACTTAATGCTTTGATTTTCTTTGTTTTAAATATTGTGTCGATGTAATGATTGTTCTCACTATTTTTAGAAATTAACGAGAATTTTTGAATTTACGATGCTTAGGAATATTTTGCGCACTTTGACATCAATATGGACTTATTTTGACTTCTAACATATACGCTATAGTATTGCGGACGTATTATCAGATTCATAATGACAGGATGCGATTTTACAGATGGCTGTTTGTTTTGTATTACTTTATTAGTTGACCCGTTTAATTTAAGTATATTATTTTAGTTTATCTGTTCTTTTTAATTATGTTTATATTTAACATTGAGGATGACCCGATCGGGCTCGAAACATCTGTTATTTATTATTTAGATCATGATAATTATATTTGTTTCTTATATCTACACTTACTTTGTTGTTTTTTAGTTCATAATCTTTCTAAACACTTATTTTTAGCTTGAAATATGAAGCGCCTTACCGTTCCGAGTGTTAAGATGTTGAACTATATAATATACATTCATTTAAATTGAATTAATTTTTCAGAATTAAATTGCGAGCCGATGAAATTATCGGATTCATACAATCAATGATAATCCCCCCAAAATTTCCCAAATCTTAAAAAACTATAATAAACTTATTGCGAAAAATATTGCCTCGGTCGGGAGTCGACCCCGAATCTCTTGCATTCCGTGCGAGCGTCCTAAGCCTTTAGACTATCGAGACCTTAGCAACATTCTTCGCAATAACTGATATGTATAGAGAGTTATGCATGTATAGGCGAGCGTTTATAAACAATATGATTGGAAATGGGACCGTTTATATTAACGAGCTGATGAAATTATCGAATTCATACAATCAATCTGATAATCCCCCCGTGTGAATCCGATAATTTCATCGGCTCGCAATTTAATTCTGAAAAATTAATTCAATTTAAATGAATGTATATTATATAGTAGTTCTACATCTTAACACTCGGGACGGTAAGGCGCTTCGTATTTCAAGTTTTAATATAAACGGTCTCATTTCCAATCATATTACTTATTTTTAGATTTTGAGAAATTTGAAGATCACCGTGTAGTGCCTTATTTTTTTTATGATCTTTCATAAACTGTTATATAAGTCTTATTTCTTGGAAAATTAAAAAAATTCTAAAAGATATTTGAAATATATACTAATATGTAGGAACAACCTGATTTGAATAGACCATACAAATTTTTCAGAAAAAATTCGTGAAAATAGCCTAAAAATAAAGTTTCTAGACTAGAATCGCTCCATAAATTAAGCAATATAATTAACGAATAGAAATATAGTAAAACATGATAGCAGATTGTAGAAACTAAATAGATTTTTATAATTTAAATAATTCAGTTTATTTAAATGTTTGTAGAATAATAACTTATGATGTTCTAACTTATGATATTAGTAACTTGCTATCAAATGACAAGCTCTGCTGGTAGATTAAAGCTTAACTTAGCTTAAGTGTTGCTATTGATACTGTTGATATTAATCTATCATAACATTCTGCTGAAGTTAACAAACATTTGCTAGCATATTGCTAACATCTTATACATATATACATATACATATATATAAATATTATATATATATATATATATATATATATGTATGCATATACAGGATGTTTCAGAATTTACGGATACGGATTACACAGCGTGATTGTACGTGCCAAAAGAATCAATTTTTTCGTTCTAAATTGCGTTCTAACAGTATTTTTTAAATGAAAGCAATTTTAAGGTTCCTGACTGCTCGGCCAAGAACTCTGCGTTGACAATATAGAATGGCAGTCTGGCGAAATCGATAGCCACACACTTAAGTCCATGACACAAACGTAACGTCGCAACATGTAAGCAGTAAGAAAATCATAAGATTGGATTTGCTATTGGCCTTACGGTCTCTACCGTGATTAGGCAATTCGTTTACTGATTATAAGCTTTAAGCACGAGCCCATGTCCGTGTGCTCGCCTGCGGCGCGCCGAGAGTGAACGAGACAGCGAGCTCCTTCTCACACTAGTTGCTTGTTTCAAGCGACAGAAAATGCTTTCTTGGCAATCTCGGCTGCTCGGCGGCCTTAGGCATCAATAAGGGGCAGGGGGCATTCTTAATAACATAAGTTTTAAATTGTAGTACTGGTATACCAGTAATAGTGTACCCCTCCCATAATCCAGAATAGTATAAATCATGTTAAAACGCAACAGTTTACGAGATATTTAATTGTTTACGATTTTTCATACGCGTTATATATTGTAGTATACCTCTCCTTCATAAATTCGAGTAGCAAGAATAGTTCAGTAGAAGTAGAATTTTACCGGAAAAAAATTATAAATAATTCTCTCTTTACAAGAAAGGCCATCAGAAAAGAAATGCATATGTTTGCGACTTGAGACTTGTGAAAATATGCGAAAAAAAATTGAATAATTGCAAAAAATGTTGTTTTTTGCTTATAAAACGAAAGATATTGATTGGAAAAAAATTCGATATAAAAAATGTAGGTATTTGAAAACCTACAAAATGAGATGTGAAATATTAAAATCGATCTATCAGTAGAAAAAAAATAAACCGAAAAAGGCCTTTTTTTTCAGTCGCTCTCTGTTCATTGAGATTTAAACGCAAAACTTTGAAAATCTCATAAAATGTAGCCCTCGTAATAACGAACAAGTTTAGCCCTGAACAAGCCTGGTCATTAGTTTTTGCATTTGTTTACTAAAAACCTGTCTGCAGAAAACTTAATTTCCTCATCTTTGAGTAGTTGCACAGCAATTTACAGGGGTGATTTTTCTTCTTCGAGAGTTGCACTATCCCATACACTTAATAACAAAATGATTTTTTGAATTAAACTATTATAAAATGACTTCAAAAAGTGGGTATCTTTCCCCATATAAAAAAATTGGAATAATTACGTTAATATGCATCATATCAAATAGCCGTATGAAGCATTCTACATCTGATATTTTTCTACGAATTTAAAAAAAAAAAAGATTATATTCCGATTATTAGGAGCCGAGATAACAATTTTTTTCAAAAATTCACTGTCGCTCTAGTTTTTAAGATTAAAGAGTTCCGTCTGGCACTAATTTGTTAAGAAAGAATTTAATTTGCTGTTAAAAAAATCTCGAATTCTAACCATGAAATTTTTAGTTTAGAAAATTTTTTCTTTCTTGAATTTTTATTTGTTCGGTTTATCACTAAAAAATCACGTTTGAATATGGAGTGCATGTTTAATTAACAAATTTAAGTCATATTAGCTATGTTTCTTTATTTAATATGCTGTAAAAAGTGTTCAATTGGACAATTAAATGTACGGAAAAATGTACAAAAATGTTTTTATAAATTTACAAAATTGTTTTAAATATACAAAATTGTTTTTGTAAATTTAATGGCAAATGCAAATATGACATATGTAAACAAGTAATAAATAATTTGTCAAATGTTAGAAACAATTTTGTACTGATAATTCCGTACATTTAACTGTCCAATTGGACACTTTTTACAGTATATTAAATAAAGAAACATAGCTAATGTGACTTAAATTTGTTAATCAGACATGCACTCCACACTCAAACGTGATTTTTTAGTAATAAACTGAAAAAATAAAAATTTAAGAAACAAAAAACTAAAAATTTTATAGTTACAATTATTTTGCGAAATATTTGATTAAACTATTTATTTATATCTCGTCGAGCTACTTCAGATTTAAAAAATCAGGTTTCACGTCAATTTATTGCTGAGAAAATGTAAATTTAGCAAATTTTAACGCACAAAATCAAATACGCGCGAATCGCCGACTGATCTTCCCTACTTGACTGCGCGCCGGCTTCCCTCACTCCGCCTGGCGCACTGCTTCGCTTGCGTTCTTCAACTTTCCAATGGTTTTAAACAATTTTGGCAGCAAAAAATTCGAGAATTTTTCAACAGCAAATTCAATTCTTCCTTGACAAATTGATACCAGGCGGAACTCTTAATCCTAAAATTAAAGCTACAGTGATTTAAAAAAAAAATTGTTATCTCGGCTCCTAATAATCGGCGGAGGGTAATCTTTTTTTTTAAAATTTGTAGAAAAATGTCAGATGTAGAATGCTACACGGCTATTTGATATAATGCATATTAATGAAATTATTTCCACTTTTTTATACAGAAAAAAATATTCACTTTTTAAAGAGGCGTTTTATAATAGTTTAACTGCAAAAAATCGTTTTGTTATTAAATGTACATGATAATGCAATTCTTGAAGAAGAAAAATCACCCCTGTAAATTGTTATGACAGGTTTTTACACAATCAAATGGCTTTTTGCAAAAACTAATGAACATTTCATGCTTGTTCACGGCTAGATTTGTTCGTCATTACGAGAGCTACATTTTACGAGAATTTCAAATTTTTTTTTTTGCGTTTAAATCTCAATAAACAGAAAGCGAGTGAAAAAAAGGCTTTTTTCGGTTTTTTATTTTTTTTTTACTAAATTAATAGATCGATTTTAATGTTCCATGTCTCATTTTGTAGTTCTTTCGAATATCTACATTTTTTATATCGATTTTTTTTGTCATACAATCAATATCTTTTGTTTTAAATGAAAAACATGCTTTTTACAACTATTCGATTTTGTCTGCATATTTTCTTCACAAGTCTCGAGTCGCAAACATACGCATTTCTTTTCCGATGGCCTTTTGAGACTTTCGTGAAAAGAAATGCTGGTTTATAATCTTTTTCTGGTAAAATTCTACTTCTATTGAACTATTCTTGCTATTCGAGTTTATGAGGGAAAGGTTTACTATATAACACACGTGAAAAATCATAAACAATTAAATATCTCGTAAAGTATTGCGTTTTAATATGATTTATACTATTCTGAATTAAAGGGAGGGATACACTATTACTATAATTTATTAAAAACTTATATGTTATTTAGTATGCTCCCCGTCCCTTATTGATGTCTAGGGCCACCGAGCGGCCGAGATTGCCGAGAAAATTTTCTGTCGCTTGAAACAAACGATTAGTGTGAGACTCGCTGTCTCGTTTACTCTCGGCGCGCCGCAGGCGAGCATGTATGTGTGCTTGTGTTACAGCGCCACTCCACGATAAATGGCCAAACTTATAAGGAAAAATGACGTTTTGTCGACGAAATTTATGTTGCGCGCCATTTTTTTTTTATTATTTGCTTAATTGTGAAAATGTGACTTGTCTCGTATTTATCAAAGTCGTAATTATCGATGAAAACTAAAGTTATCTTGGAATTTTATATGTAAAAGCATATATTTTACTTGTTTCAACAGCTGTCGGACTATGTGTTTCTGCCCGAATATAGGCTCACGTGCTTTTTACGACTATTTACTGACTGTCAAGGGAGAAAAGGACAGTTTTCGATTTTTACAAGTATTTGAAAGTGATCTTGTCATTTTGTTTCATACAAATTGTCTTTATTTAAAAATGGCACATAACATAAACTAACGTGTCATTCCTCGCTTCACGTCACGATTCCAACATGGCCGCCGCGACTAGTCAGGAGCCTTAAGTTAATGAATGGGTGCTCCACGTTAGGCATGGATCATGGACGGCGCACATACACGGCGCGGCCTGGCGTATGAGTATACTCATTATTATTTTGCTAAAAATTTTATAAAAATTGTGCATGCTATCTAAATATCACTATTTTGAATACAACTTATGGTAATCTTCCAGAAGAGCTTACTCACCTTCGATTTCGATGAAATTAGGCTCATTCGATACGTTTTTGCATAAATGAAAAGAATCTGACAGAAAAAAGTCCGGGACTGCTTTGCGAATTGAGGTATTGAGCGTTAAAGTTGACTGAAGTGTTATTAATAAGATCATTAATCTGTGATGTAGACAGTGGAGTGTATAGACTAGTGCTTTGCGGCTACGCCGCCCCGAACAAAAATAAATAACATATCCTACCCACTTGGGGCTTAACTGCCTAGAAATTGCAGCCTAGGCAGTGTCCGCTTGGAATATTTCTAACTCATGAAGACAGTGGGGTGGGAGAACAGTTTTATTAGAATGGTCTTTTTACTGTCTAGATTGCAACTTCTAGGCAGTTAGGCCCCAAGCGGGTAGGATATATTATATTTTCTTCTCTTTCTCTCTCTCAGGGCGTAGCCGCCCTGAACCAATACTGTCACTATCCACTATCCACGTGACAGATTTCCTAACCTCAATAGTGGTCAATTTTAACGCTCAATATTTCGCTCCACAGGGCAGTCCAGGACTTTTTTTTGTCAGATTCTTTCATTTTACGCAAAAACGCGTCAAATGAGCCTAATTTCATCAAAATCGGATTAAGCTTTTCTGGAAAATTATCCAACTTATTTAAGAAGAGAATGTTTTCTAATTGATATCGCTGAAAAAACGATTGAAAGTAAAATAAGTAGACAACTCGTCAATAATTATAATATTTAGATGCAATCCATGTCCGCGAATTCTGAAATACCCTGTATTACATAAGGGTGAGTTATTTTAAAAATATTTTAAATAAAAGTTGTTCAGTTACTAGGGGGAAAGAAAGTCGTGATTGACCTAGAGAAGATGTTTTTAAAGTCAAGCCAAGGTTATCTAAAATTTTTTTAATGGGAACCCCAATTTTTTATTTCATGTTTATATAGCTGACATTAAGACTTTTTCAAAATACAATACTATAAAGTATTTTTTCATTGAGTACTTTACAAGTTATGCGGCTTGAAAATTAGCAGGTCAAAAAAAATTCTGAATTCGACTTTATGATAGTCTATTTGAACGTAGAATTTTCTGTTCTTTTTATTTCTGAAGTCAAAAATAGAGTTTTCGATTTAAAATGACATCAGTTATAATAATTGCTTGGCGGGTGGTAAATATTAATCTGATCAAACGGAGCGCTTCCAGCATTGATCTGTTAACTTTTAAGCTCTATAACTTGCAAGGTACTCAATGAAAAAATATTTTATTATAGTGTTTTGAAAAAGTCTTTATGTCAGCTATATGAACATGAAATAAAAAATTAAAATTTCCATTTAAAAAATTTTAGGTAGCTTGACTTTAAGAAT